TTTTAAACGATTAATCTAGCGATTATTTTTTCGATGCATCGCTTAATCTAACGATTATTTTTTTCGCTTTGATTCGATTTCGATTCAATTCGATTCTCGATTATCTCCCCATTAATTGACTAATATTGATGTATACATGTTGATTTAAATATTTTAATGAAAAAAACATAAATTCCTTCACAAAAAATATTTATTGCTTGCTCTTAAAATTCAAAAATAAGACATTCTTGGAGGTAGCATAAAACCTTAAAGCCTTGAAAACACAGCTTACTGAAAAAAGTGCATCTTATCATTCTTGAAACAAACATTTGATGCAGTGTTGCCAACTTAGCGACTTTGTCGCTAGATTTAGCGACTTTTCAGACCCCTATAGCGACTTTTTTTCAAAAAAGCGACTAGCGACAAATCTAGCGACTTTTTCTGGTGTTATTGGCGACTTATCTGGTGTTTTGGCGACTTATCTGGTGTTTTGGAGACTCGTGAAGCACGTATTGTTCTGCTGTCCTCAACGTGAGCCCCTCCCCCGTCCCAAAGCACTTACAGGCGGCCAGTCTCACAGTAGCCTTGCGCAGCAGTCCCAGCTACAGTCTATGGGCGGAGCAGAGAGAGAGAGAGAGAGGAGACTCAAAAGCACAGGAAGTTTTCAGGCTGCTGCAGACTGAACTTCAGCTCCACCACCACCACACATCCAAAGCTCCCCGGCCACTCCTACCACCGCCACCCCCCACTACCCCCCACTCCATCCGCGGCAGCTCTGTCCGTGACTCTGTTTTCTCTCAGTAGTGGGTCACATTAAATCATTTGTTATGCCAAACTATGAAAAAAAAAAAAAACGTACAAAAATAAACCTAAGTAACTCTGCCAGAGTGTGTCTTTTGGGTCACTTTGCCGGTCCCAAGCCCGGATAAAGGAGGAGGGTTGGTTGTAGAGCTAGCAATTTCACCCTACATAACAATCTTTTGATTACATTTGCTGTTATAACATTTAACAATACAGGACAAAACTGATGTGTGTAATGTGGATCTAGACAAAGCATTAAAATCATTAAATGTTGTTAATGTTGAAATTATTTTTGTACATTTGTAGTTCTAAACATATTTAGGGTGTTTTTACTCACTTTTGTCTCTCCCACGACCTTATTCCTCTCTCCTACAGCGTCCGTTACAGTTATTTGCAAATGGCAAATTATGCAAATTAGGCGATGACGTCATTTAGCGACTTCTAGCGACTTTTGGGACAGCCAATAGCTACTTTCCTTACTGAGGAGTTGGCAACACTGATTTGATGCTTAGCATTCAATAAAAATATGAAAAAGTTCAGCCAAATACTTGTGTAGAGCAACTAAAAGAAAACAGTAACCAATGTAAACTTGAAGGCTTTAAGCTAAACAAAGAGTGCTTTTCCGGCAAAAACAGTGGGAGCCATCTGCCTGTCATGGCGTCCTTCCTGAACCAACAGAGTTTAACATTTAAGTTGAAGACACATAGGCCTATATTACTGAAGTCCATTAATTAAAGTGCATCTCTTAAATTCTTCATTCATATAAAAATAACAGTCAAAACTCTGCCACTCACCGTTTTCTTAAACTCAAAATTCAAAAATAAAATTCAAGTAAGAGTGTAAAAGAGAAAAACAATGCATTGTGTAGCAAATAAAAAGGTCAACCAGTCATCCTTTCTTTTAGAGTTACTGAAAGAATACAGTAGAAGTCATCTCAGAGGACTTAAAACAACATTGAAGTCACCAACACAGATCAGAGAATCAATCAACAGTTAAACACATTAAGGATATTGAACACATGTTGAAAAATGTCCATATACGGCGGGCATGACAGTGAATAATACATGTAGGGGCTATTACGGGCGCCAATATTCCGTTTGATACAAAGAAAGACAGACTAGTTGTGAGCTGTAGAGTTGCCACAGGACGCGTCATCAGCCTACGTCAGCAGCCACGGACTGCTATGAAAACATTAGCTTTGTGGTTTCACAGGTGCAGTTGACTGCTTAAACTAAACTTTGCACGAAACTTTGACTCTTAAAACTCATTCGTGTCTGAATTCGTTCGTATTTTAACTTTTAAAGAAATTCACGGTCCGCCATCTTGGTTTGCTTCGGCTGCCGTGAGACGCGCATGCGCAGGTTTGCATTACATCATAAACAGCTGAGGCTGTGCATCTCTTCAAGGCAGTGTATCTCAGCGTTACACCGGCTTGCACTTCTCTAACACGGCACTCGCATTTTGAAGGTACATGTGTTGAGATGATGTGGAGCGATTTTGAGGCCAATCGGTGAAACGGCCGAGGAGGAGTCGCTTTCCAACCGACATGTATGAAAAAATTTGCTGTTAATTTTTCCATTTTGCAGTGAAATTTATGGGCCTCCTGTTTGTCAGAGGGCGGAGCCATGATAACATTTCGGTCGTATCTTGACTTGAGGAACATGTGTACCGAATGTCATGGCTATACGACAAACTTGACCTCTGAAACTCCCATTGGCTGTTGTAGGTGGCGCTGTTCTGGCATTTTTTGAGTCCCATAAAAATAAACCAAAACACCAAAATATAATTTTTTTTTTACAATTTTTACAAACAAAGTCTGATTTGCATTAAACTTGAATCCATTGTTCAACTCCAGGGTTTAGGTCAGGTGAAAGTGAAATATTTGAAATTGGCCCATTAGCGCCCCCTAAAGACTGAGTCAAAGTTTACATGGGGAGCCAAACCAGCTCTACTTATCATATTCATTACAATTTGACTAACAATCTTCTATGGCTATAGGAACAAATCATCACACGGCGGCGCCACCTCCTTTGAGCGGTGCTGCGTGGTACGGTGTGGTGCGGCGTAGTGCGGCTTGGCGTTGTGGAGCGGCGTGTTGCGGCTTGGCGCGGGACGGCGTGGTGCGGGGCGGCTTGGCACGGGGCGGTGCGGGGGGTCGCGCGGTGTGGCAAGGGCCGTTCGACGCCACTTGCGGCTTTAATTATTATTTGTTTTCCAAACATGATGCTTGTCTGAAATAGGTCTGATGAGCTGCAGCATGTAGTCATTCGAGGATCGTTCAGACTATAGAGTTGTGGGGTGAATTCAAAGGTGGCGAGAGTCATGTTCTTTAGACATCCGTGAATTTTCATCCAGAAATGTTGAATTTGAGGACATTCCCATAGAAGATGGACCAGAGTTCCTTTGTTTTCACCACATCTCCAACATTTGTCTGAGTCTATAAGTTTGAGTCTGAACATTCGTGATGGGGTCCAGTAGTAACAATTTAGGACTTTAAAATTGATTAATTTTATTTTGATATCTCTGGACAATTTATTAGTGTTTCCACAGATTTTGTTCCAGTCCTCATCTGTCAGGTCAATTTTTAGATCTGATGCCCAGACAGACTTGAGAGCATAGGACATAGGATGCCTCTGCTGAAAGACAAAGTCGTAGTAAAATGATGCCTCATGCCCTAGACCCATCTTTTTAATGATTTGTGCGAGGAGAGTTGAGTACTGTGGTGGGGACTCTTTTCCAATGGCATTGAATAATACATTCCAGAGTTGCAAATATTTCCAAAAGTCTATGTTTTAGATTATATTCAGCCTTTAATTTTTCATATGATTTTAAGATACTGCCATCATACAGATCAGAAAGTTTTGTTATTCCCCCAGCGTACCAATCTTTCCATATAAAGGGATATTTACCTATTTTCAGTTTGGGATTATTCCATATGCAAGACTCCATGTTGATTTTTAAAAAAACTGATATTAAATGTGTGTGAGATCTTTTTCCAAATATTTAGGAGGTTTGCAATGATAGGATGGGACTTGGTACGAGAGGTAATCTTTGCTGATAAAGCATCAATTGGCTTAAGTGGCATAAACAGTCTGGACTCCAACCCTATCCAAGGAGGGGCTCGTTCAAATAGCAATGCCCATTGAGCAATATGTCTTAGGCAGAAGTCGTAATAATATAGAATTAGTTTGGGAAAGCCCACACCTCCCTTATTGATTGGCATTTGCATTTTCATCATTTTTTTTCTGGGGCGTTTCCCATTCCATATGAATTCCTTCAGATACGGTCAAAATTGTCAAAGTATTTTTTAGGAATAGCTATTAGGAGACGTTGTAATATAGTTTAATTTTGGAACGCAATTCATTTTCAGCACATTAACTTTGCCCCACAACGAGAAGGACAAGAGAGCCCATCGTGGTGTATCTAATAAAATCTTTTTTAGGATTGGGTCAAAGTATTTTTCTATAATTTTGTCAATTTCTTTGGAGACAAGATTCCCAGATATTGTATACCTTGCGTGGGCCACTGGAACGAGCCAGCTTGGAATAGGGTTTGTGAGCAGAATGAGGTTAGCGGTAAAGCTTCTGATTTAGAACAATTTACTTTGTATCCTGATAGTTTTGAGAAGTGGTCGACTTATAACTTTATATTGTTCACATATAGCCATTTTTTTATTAAAACAAAACAAATCAATGCAAAGTACTACAAATATTGTTACAGAAAAACTTAACGTTCACATATTTCAAGTTTCAGAAGTAACAAAATAAAGGACAACCTTATCGTAATATTATTGTCTTTGTTGTCATTATACATTCTTTCTCGTCTTGAGAACCTTCTGACTAAACAGTCAACTGTCCGGCAATTTGAACTAAAGCCCACAATGACAAACATACCTGTGCAAATAAATTATCTACAGGTCATGAAAATGCTGACTGTAATTACTTGTAGTATGTCTGACACTTGTTGATTAGCTGGTGATACATTTTGTGCCTCCCCATCTAGTTTGACGGTGGGTGATTGCATGGGTGGTGTAGGGCACTGTTGGGACTCTGGGGACTGAAGAAGGTTGGAAGCCAGTGAGTTTGAGCAGGTAATTGTAGAGCGTGATATTGGGTGTGTTGTGTAGGATGATTCTGTGCTTGACTACTAAATGACAGCATATTAACAGCAGTACCAATTATCTGACTGATCATCTGTATGTGCCTGTTGTTGTGCTTGAATCATTTGGAATCTTTTATCCTCTGCCTCCTGCTGTGCTTTTGGAAGACTCTCCAGAGCTGTACTCTCCTGCGTTTGACGGTTTTGCTCAGCTTCAAACATCTGTTGCAGCTGCTTTGTTTGCTGGGCAATACAAGCCTGCAACCCACGGTCAGACGTTGAAGCTTCAGTTTTGCACTTTCTTCCCAAGTGCCTCCTTGCCTGAACACCACGGACAGCCTGCCTTTCTTTCTTTGTATCATCACAGCTGGGTGCAGCACTGTGGTCTTCTCCATCAGTGGTGTCATCTGGAGGTGCTGCAGTCTCCTTGTGATCTATGAAATATACACAAAAGCATAACAGTGCAGCAAAAGTTACTTTTGTTGTAGTTTGGTTAGTGTTATCACATTCCTCAAAACAAAAAATAATAATTCAAGCTAAATTACACAACAGATGGAAACCAGTCAGTGATACTTATTTTGGCAAGTAATGATCACAAAAGCCAGTTAAAGCCACATCAAAATAAATAAAAATAAATATTTGAGGCTTACACGAACAATGAAAAACATGTACCATTAATCTCTGATTCACCGGAGCTGATGACAGATGTCCGCTGTGCTGTTTGTTTTCTATTATGTCCAAGGGACATACGGTTGGTCTTGTTCCTAATATTTTATTGAGTTCGTCATACCTGGGATATTTGTCTTTTTCTTTTCCAGAACTCCCACTCTTCTTTGTGTCTCGTACTTTCATATACGTTTGGCAGAGTTTCTTCACTTTGACGCGGCATTGGTCAGAAGACCGCTCGTAGCCCCTCTCATTCATTTTCTCACTGAAAATGTTGAACACGACCGCATTTTTGTGTTTCTTCTATAGAAGTTGGGTTATATGTGCCTCTGCCCAAATTTCAAGGAGGCACAGTGTCTCCTCATTGCTCCACGTCTGCCCACGGCTGATGTTTTTGTATGGCATGCGTTAGCAGCTGTGATGCGTTGCTAATTACTCACAGTTTCTGTCTACGGTGGCTTGTGTAATGACAGTTTTTAGAGTAATTAAATTAGAACCAGCCGCAGCAAATACACGGACGTCAAAGGCCTTTAATCAATGCAGAGACGGCCTTCTGACGCCATGCTGAGCTTTGTGAAGGCCTCTGCTGTCTGCTCCTTTCACACCTAAGACAAAGGCCTTCCTGTGTCTTGCGCTAAAACAAAAGGTGATGCATTGCATCTCAATGGCACGGTCTGATTGTCTCTGCTGGGGCATGGCTCCTCCGCTCCAGATGCGCCTCCTGTACTGGTGGCCCCCTCCCATCTGTTGTGGGCGTGACTGTCTTTCATGTGTATCTATGTAAACAGGAACCTGAGCTCTGCGCGCCAGAGCTGATGCATGCTGCCTTTGTGTGTGAGCTCTCCGCACGTGTGTACAATAAACTTACGCTCCTGATTAAGACAAATACTTTTGAGCTTTCTCCTTGCTTTGGGGTATGTAATTCTACAACAATTTGGCGTTGCTGGCATGTCTTGGCATGGATACTTTCGGCGGGGACGAGCGGCCGCGTTTGGCCGACCTGGAACAACACCAGCCTCTGTTCTATTTGGAGACAAAGGAGGGCGCGCTCGTCCCGCGCATGGAAGGAATCTTTGACCACACAAGACCAAAAAGAACCTAATTTGGTGAGTTTTGTCTTTTCATCTGCGTAACGAGCCCAGGGCAGCACTTAAGTGTACACGGGGATTTGTTTATTTATGTATTTTTGGGGTATTTCATTCATTGCCACAGCATAGACTGTGTGCGGGATTTTTTGGGGTCTTTTGTTCTAGATTGAAGCTAGCGGCTGCGCGTTAGTAATCGCTCAGTAAGCGACCCTGATAATTTCTCTAGTGTCTTCAGCCAGACCCGCTCCGTTTCAAGAACGCGCGCTCGTTGGGTATATAGAACCCACGGGGGGGGAACGGAGCGCCCCAAAGTGGGTAAGAGCAGGGAGAGACTAAACGGGTTAGGTCCATTGTTCGTACGAGAAAATGGGGAAAAATCAATCTAGAGATGCCATACCGAGGGGAATGTTAACGTCCCCCGTTACAATGGCCATGAGAAAACAGTTCGGATCTAAAAGCTATGGAGTGCTTGCCTATGGTGCAGTTCATTTGGCCTTTTCCGATGGAGGCTATATGTCTCCGAATCAATTACGCATCTTGCGTGATAATTTAGAAGAAGAAGGGAAGAAAAAATATACTTGGTTTTAAGAATATCACGGCAAAAGACGTTAGAGAAAGTAAGTAAGTAAGTAAGTAAGTAATCTTTATTTATATACCGCCTTTCACAGACCAGAGTCACAAAGCGGTTTACAATTGTTATTATTTTTTGGGCATTGGTCCACTCACTCCACACAGAGATGGGAGCGGGGTCGCCAGTACAGGAGGCGCATGCCAGACCTATTGTGCATGTTTTTAGTGGTAGGGGAAACCGGAGTACCCGGAGGAAACCTACGCAGACACGGGGAGAACATGCAAACTCCACTCAGAAAGGCCCTGGTCCGGCCGGGATTCGAACCCAGGACCTTCTTGCTGAGAGGCGAGAGTGCTATCCACTCAGCCACCGTGCCGCCCACGGCGGCACGGTGGCTGAAGAAAGAAATATGTAACAACAATAGCTCCTCCGCTTTTCACCGAAGCGGAGAACACACAGGCGGACACACACACACACACACACACATCCCACACACCCCCACACCCCCACCCTACCGCCCTTTTTCCCCTACTAACAATAAGTGTGCACCCAAACAAGGCGTTGGGTTTTTAAAAAAAATGAGCAGACTACTGTTGTCCCTTTTTCCTCTCCCTGTCCAGGTCTGTCGGCGCTTTTCCTCCGCGCTCTGTCCTCTGCCTCAAAGCCCCAGCACCAGCCCCACGCCCCAACCACGGGGGCGCTCGCACCAGCTGAGACCCCGCGAGAAGTGGGCCCAAACCCGGGAGCAGAAGAAGAAGTGGCGGAAGCAGATACACGCTCAGGAAACCACAGAAGAAGAAGTGGCGGAAGCAGATACACGCTCAGGAAACCGCAGAAGAAGAAGCGGGGGAAGCAGATATGTGAGACACCGACAACTGCTTTGGAGGCCAGAGACTAACTGCTCCAAATCCCGTGACTGTTCCCCACGGAGGCGGCAGCGTGATATACCAAACGCACCCGCTGAAACCCCGTTGAAAGTTGCCCCCGCACCGCAAACAGAAGAAGCCAAAAGTACCGGCACGTTTGGTTATTCACCAACCCTCATGGACCACAGGCTAACGCTTTGGGCTACCTGGGCCTCCTGCGGACTTTGAGAAACTTCCACAGCCCGGCGGAAAGACTGTGTGCTCGACATGGGTCGAAGGACTGTCACCGGAGGAGGCGTTAAAGGCAGAGGCTCACACGGGGCCAGAGGACGGCAGAGGCGGGCGTGGAGGAAACACGAGCGACTGACCAAACCCGGGTTCACATTCGTCACCAAAGCGACCGCTCATGTAAGTTTGAACAACAACAAATTGCAATTGGCACTTTTTAGAGATAATTCATGCTGAATTCCCGTTATATACGCTAACAATCTGTGGTGTAAAAGTTAAAATTCTGGATGACTCCGGGGCAACAAATTCTGTGCTAAAAAGTGACAGCCTTTCTGTCTCCCCTAAAATGAGTGGCCGCTTCACATTCTCATTAGCAGCGTCGGGAGAGACGACTAAAGAGCAATTTACGTCACCGCTAACGTGTTTTGATTCTCAGGGCAACCAGCTTAAACATTCTTTTCTATATTCCCCATTGTGCCCGGTTAATCTACTAGGCCGAGACCTTATGTGCAGACTCAATTTAAATCTGCTCTCAACACCAAGCGGCCTACGGGTGGTACACGCTAGTGAGCTAGAAAATGCTCCATGTTTCACCGGCATGCACAAGGAGGCACCGGTCCCAAAAGTTAACTACCACTGGAAATTGACACCAAACCCTGAGATTGCTAAGTTATTAGCCACAACAGTGGATAGAGTGACGCCCGCACAAAATTTGGAGGTCAACCACGCGAACGACCTAAGCTGCTCTCTCCGGTCGTTCCCAGACAATAACTTGGAGTTTGAAAATTCATGGCTTCAGTGTAGTGAAGATAGGCTAACGGAGTACATTTATTGAGATAGGCACCACTCTATGGTATCTGTGCTACTTAATGAGCAACAAAAACATTTTATCGTGAAACAAAGGTGAAGTATTAAAGTTTGAGACTAATTTACATTTTTAATGAATCCGACCTGGCTTTATTGAAAAAGAAAAAAGAAGGAAAAAAAACATTTTTAAGTAACAAGAGCTCAGTAGAGATATAGGGGACACAATCGGTGATAAGCCCGAGTATAGACCACGTGGTAAACACTAAAGTTGGAAATGGATCCTTTTAGGAAAAATCTTTTATAGCTCTGCATGTTCTGCAGGCTCTGAAAGTTGCAACAATAGAAATAGCTCATGAGACAATTGTAATTGGACATGGAAAAATATAACAAAGTTAAAATTACAGGCCTTCTGTGTGTGTTATATGTTTGTGTGTGTTATATGTTTGTGTATGTTATATGTTTGTGCGTCATGTCAAGTACACTACGTTGACCTTAACAAACTCTGGACCAACATACTAACGTGGGGAATCGGCCTGTGATGTGAGTGTGATGTGAGTGTGGTGTGAAATGAGGAGTGAAATGAGGAGTGCTGAACGGAATCATGGAATAACAAATGTTTCTGTAATGTTTTAATGTGATCATGGAATAATTATTTTTTGTCAACAGCATACGGTGTAAGTACTAGAGATTCAAAGATAACAAGCTTTATTGAACAGGTGTAAAAGTGGGAGTACTCTGGGATGAGTACTCTGAGAAAAGTACTCTGCGGAAAGTACTCTGAGATGAAATACCTTGCTGAAGATATTGGGAGTCCCTCCCTCTGCTGTTTGTCCTGACAGTGATTCGGTCCAACCGCAGTGAGCTGTCGTTGGTTGAAGGACAACTTTGGTTTGTAAACTCACATTTAGGGGAGTATAAAATTAGAAACATACATTTTGTTAAGTCTGTATTTGGCTGATGTCACACACCGTCTGTCAATGCAGTTATGTTTTGCCCAATTGGAAAAAAGATGGACAAGCGAAAGTGGGCATTTTTCGTGTTTTTTGTGTTCTAATATTTCTTTTTCAGATGAGAGATAAACTGCACCTGCTTCAGGGATGACAGTAGTATGGATCATGAGGAAATGAGCCTCTACTTTGGCACCAAAGCCCACAATATGAATTGAGGACGATCCGGGAGAAAAGCAACTGGAGATGAACGGAACAGCAAATCTACACACACACACTAGGTCTCCCTGACCCAGCCTGGCCATTCACTCAGACTGTGGATGAGCGGTGTGGGTGCATGGTGTCGGTACTTTTGCAGTCTCACGGAGGGCCACTGAGACCCACTGCTTACTTCTCAGCAAAACTCGATCCCGTGGCAGCAGGGTTGCCTCGCTGCCTGCGGGCTGTGGCTGCCGCTGAGAAAGCGGCCCTAGCATCACGTGACCTTGTGGGATACACTGAACTAACTTTGCTTGTGCCCCATGCTGTTTCCCTGATCCTGCTAGAGCAGAAAACCTCTCACCTTTCTGCGGCTCGTTGGCTGAAATACAACACGGTGCTCTTTGAACTCCCCAATGTCACGGTGAAAAGATGCACACAGCTGAACCCCTCCTCACTGCTGCCCACGCCAGAGGAAGGGGAGGCACACTGCTGTATCGCCACAATAGAACAGATATGCACTCCCAGGCCAGACCTGAAAGAGGTACCTCTG